ATGAAGGCGGCCCGCCGCGGCGGCCAATCCCGACTCCTCCAGCAGACCATCTGCCACCACCGCCCCTCCGACTGGACCTTCTCCGTCTCGTGGGGCTACTCCGCCCACGTCTACGAGACCGTCCTCCCCCGAAGCTTCCTCCACACCCCTCTCGAGACCTTCCGCCCGTGGGCCCCGGGCCTCGGCCCGCCCTTCTACACGTTCAACACGCGCCTCCCCACACAGGACCCGTGCCACGCTCCCCACGTCTTCTTCTTCAAGTCCATCAAGCGGGAAGACGGGCTCCTCGTCACCACCTATTCCCGGGCGCGGCCGCGCGGATTGCCCCCTTGCTCCGACCGCTCGGCTGACCACGTGAGGAGGGTTCGTGTTTTCTCGCCCCCGCATAAACGAGTCGAGGTAATTAGCTAGTTCAGTTGGGAAATCTTTCAAAAGTAGTCTCACAGGTATTAGGGGATTTCCTTTTTTTGTCCCAAAAGAACAATGAAAAATCAAATCAAAATAGGTCCAATAGTTTTCAAAATTAATTAAAAAACGACTTTTTTTGGGTGGATTTTCGATTTTCGACCTGAAAAAGCCACGTCGCGCACACGAGCGACAGTCATCATGCATGGTACCTCACCTACTACTTTTGAAATTTTCTCTATTTTTACAGTGTTATGTTCTTCTTTTGTTATACAAATAATATATATAAATATATTATTACGTAAATCTAAGGCAAGTTAGACGACTATAATGTAGTCACGGGTGGGGTCGAATTAGCTGCTTATTAGAATGACTTAATTGTTATTCAAAGTTTTTGGTCATACATTCATGACAATTGAGGTATTTTTTTTTTGCTCGTTTTTGTGTTTTCAGACGGATAGATGCGAATGTTGCGACGTTGTTCGAGTGGACGGTGTTGATGCAGAGATCAGATTGAGGGAGTGTTTGACAGATGAAATAATTGCTTAATCAAATTAGTAGCAGCTGATGAGTGTGGGAGCTCAATCTGTATTTATTATTTGGTGTTAGGTTCAACTTTATGTTTTTCCAGATTCAAACTTGAATATGCTATTTTTGTTTTGTACATGAAACGCAAAAGCGTGTTGAGAATTTGAAGCATTATGGTGTTGCTTGGATACAAAAAACCTAGGATTTGGGCAAAAAATATTCCCCAAATGTCTAGACATTTTTGGCCAAATTGTACTTCTTAACCCAGTAATTTGAAGTTAAGCCCATGTATTGAACTTCACAATATTTTTTTACATTGATATTCACTACAAAAAGAACTGTTATATTTTAACATAAAATCATATTGTAATATATTCTGGAAATTTCAACTAATATTTCAATGGTATAGTTTCCGTTGGAATGATTTCAACGAAAATTCCGACGAAATTATTCCATTGGAATGTGTTTTTCATTGGAATTTTAGATGAAATCTTATAATTCTAACGGCTGTATTCCAACGGCTTTTTACTGTAGGAATTTTTGTTGGAATTTTTATTTCCACTCACACTGGAAAATCTACTGTTGGAATCGTCAACATTAAGAAATTTCAATGGAAAACTCATTCCAACGGAATATTCTTGTTGGAATTTCCGTTTTATTGAAATATATTTCCATTGGAATTTCATCATTTTCTTGTAGTGTTGATAAAAAGCAGTTCATCTGATATAATAAAAAAAAAATATTCTTTTATATATGAAATATGGTGTCAAATAAAAAAATATATTAAATAAATTAATTTGATATGTTATCAAGTCTTTATTTAAAAGATATGAATATTTAATTTAAAAATTATAAGAATGTAACTAATATTTAATTGACAAAAAAAAAAATAACAAAGGAAATAATTATAAATAATATATGGTATAGATCCTCATCCTCGGGCTTCTACACGGTGATGAAGATCGTGTATGAGGACTCGAATTGTGTAAGAACCGCTCTAACTGCCTTGGTTCAAACACGATAAAATGCGAAAACCCGTGTTAAATAGACGTCGGTTAATTAAAAGATTTTGTTCAAAAACGAGCTTTTTGTTATTTGATTATTTCTTATTATATAGTTCAAACATGCATACAAAGATACTATTTATAACACACACACACAAACAACATTCAAATTTAAATATTCAAACATACAACTAACGGAACATATTCAAAACATAAATACTTATATTTATTTTTGTTCCTTTAAATCTTAAATTGAGCATGATGTTTGATTCGAGGAACAGTTTTGGCATCTCAAAGCTTTCTTTTATTAGTTAGATCCCACATCGACAATACCTCATATGTCCCAACTAGATCTGCTAGAAGCAGATATGCATATCAACCGACTTGAGAATCGTGGGAAAATCAACCTGGCGCACAATTTTATCGTATCCCACGACTTGGATCTAATTGTTTGAAGTTAAGCCAGATTTGAAAACCGAACCGGTCAAGCTACTGTTTCATTAGTTCACCAGTCGACCAGTGGTTGAACCGATTGGACTGGTATTTAAATTTATAATATTTTTAAACATATATAATATTTTTTATAATAAAATTCATATAAAAAACTTTGCTAATTAAATTTTAGCCAATATAAAACATTCAAATACTTAAACTAACCATTAATAACTTATATATATTCATTATATTTAAATATATATTTTTTATTTATCTTATTTTAGATGTATTAAGATTTATTTATTTTTTTTAAATAATCTGGATCGGTTCAACCGGTCCGGTTTATGGCTGTCGTTGACGGGTTTTGACCGATTCGATGGCAACCGGTTCTTTCTAGCGAATCGGACGGTCAATTGACCAGTTCCCAGTCTAATCGATCGTAGCGGTGATCCGCTCCAGTTTTCCAAATCCTGCCTTAAGTATAAACCTGCACAATCAACATATATTCCTAATTTAATTGTTTTTTAATAGAGAAAAATATTAGAGCATTTTTATTGGTTGACAAATATTCTAGCCTATTATTTTATTTTTGCATTAGATGACTTTTGAGTTTTTTTTACTTGTGTTTGTCCATCATTCATGACTACAATTTAGATTATTACTACCTCCTATTTTTTATATATGTCGTTTTGAGAAGTTGCACACTAATTAAGAATTTTTTTTTTTTGTCAATAATAACCTTTTTTTAATGAAGATAGAGATGAATGTTTTGAGAAAAAAGTGAAGAGTGAATATGAAAAGACGTAATGCCAAATAGTTCTCAATGAGGGTAATAATGGAAAAATATGTACAAAAGATCTAAAACGACATTTATTTGCCAAATAGTTGAAAAAGCTAGAATGACATTTAAAAAAAATAGGAGGGAGTATATATTTTTTTTTTTTTTT